AAGAATAAATATGTACCTGAATGAACTTACAGTCCACATGTACATTGTGACAAACTGACTCATATTTCTCCCTGATTAACTTCCTGTTTTCTTCATCTTTGGTGTCCAAATCTCTCTCCTGGTTACTTTGAATCATCAGCAAAACACGTTTCTTGCAGTGTCACAGGAACTACTTACTACTTCTATTTTCAATGAGTGAAAATGTTTATTTAATTTATTTAATGTTTCTCACTGGCGATTTTTATGGAAACTGGCTTTTTTTTAGGGAAAGATATAACTGAGGTGTGTTTGTAGCCCACACGTGGAGGACAAAGACAATATTAGGTTGGCAAGAAAAGGTTTTACAGATTTTTAGTTCACCATCAACTTGACATTTTGTTATTTTGTTGAGTAAATCAAGAATTAGACAGAATGGAGGTGAAAATATGGAATTTATTTTCAAACACTTTGAGTTTTTAGACGTTGCTGTGATGTCGCACGCTTTGTCAGTCAAGTTATTCCTTTCTTTCTGTCAGGCACCGCGGACCAGCCTCCTTCAGTCTGAACCAAGATGAGCCCCAAAAATGTGATTTTCAAGAAGGTTTGCAAGGACAAGTCGGTGAGCTGACAAATCCTGGTTGAGTTTTCTCAGTAAAATTAGAACCGTGAGTGTTTTCCCGAAAGAATTTTCCAGACTGAAAGGAGCTGACAGTCATGTTTATTCATGACCGTCAGCTGAAATGTTGTCATACAGCTAAACTGCATTCTCTGATATTTATCAATGAAAAGGCTTCTTCTTTTCTTTTTCTTTTGCTTCTTGCTCGTCCTTTTCTTTTCAACTCTGTACATCTACACTTTTGTTTTTGTTTTAGCCACATGACAAAGAGACACATTTACAGAAGCCAGAATCGTCTCATACGCTTGTTTTCGCCATTATAGAATTTCCGTTAAGAGATTTTTAATTTGGAAAACAGGTGGAGGTGAACCTGAATCATTTAAAGGTTACCTTGCCTCTCTGTGAGATCTATCATCAAAGGTTCTCTGAGCCTTAAACCTGTCTGAATGTGTCGTATTGTCAGTGTTAGGCTCGTCAGGACATTAATCCAAACCACGATGTTGCAATAAGCCCAACCCTAATAGCTGAGATTCTTAAATCTAACAAAGCAAACAGTTAAAACGAAACTTCAAATGTATAAACAGTAACAAGTCTCAGCTTTGAGGTGAGCGATGGAAGTGGCGAGCAAAGAATTCTTTTTATTGGCTGAAGCCTGGAACCAATCATCAGCAACAAAAGACAAGTGATGTCATTTGTATGTAGTCACGGCTTCATGGTTAAATTGTGGCACAGGCCTCAATCTAACTGCCACAGTGGCATCCTACCACCAGCAGTAATATCCTGTGTAATCACACTACACTGACCAGCACAACGAGGACGTCCCAGTGAAGAAACAGGCTGTGGTTGGAGTGGAAATATAACTCTTAATGCTGCTGCTTCTGTGTATAGAAGACATCATTTCCGACGCCCTTCTCTCTCTCCAGCACTTCAATGAAAGTAACTTTAATTCTGTGAAGCAGCTCAGCTCACTGATCCTCTGAAGGTCGACACGACAACGTGAGCTGATTTATGATGGCTTTATTGCAGCTTCGCTCTGCTGCTGAGCGCTCTGTTTATTGAGCACATGTCTGACCTCAGTACAGTCTGTGCTAAACTATGACATGAGGCCTTCTCCCACAGGCTGGGAACACCAATATAACAAAAACATGCCTGTCGGAAATGCTAATGCTAAATGCTAATGCTAAATGCTAACGCTCAGGTGACACTGCTGGAGAACGCTTTGTCTTTTATGAATTATTAGAAAAGATATGAATATGAATAAATAATAACAAAGAATTATTCATTATATGTTAATTTCATATTTACCAAAATGCTTCCATCGCTTTAGCTTTTGCAGTTTGTCTGTTTCACATCAGTCTGAATATTATCGAGTTTTTAATGTAAACATTTTTTTCTAAATTTTTTTCATTATTTTCATTTTTTAAACAATATTATTGTTCAATTATTCTAAATAAACAACAACAGAAACAATGAATATGTCATCAGCTGGTCAGAATCATCACACAGTTTCTGCTGAAAGGCTGAATTCACTTCAGAATTATCAGCTGAAAGTTTCTTGACTGTTTCCTCTGAACTCACCTCTAACTTCTTTCGAGTGTGAGGGAGTCCCTCCAACCAGCCCACGTGCACTTTCTGCATTCGTTTGTTCTTCAGGAGGATCAGATATCAGACCTGTTGTGACGCCGATTCGGATTTATTAGTTGAGCTATGTCCCACCTGAGCTGCAGGTGTCTGGACTCAGATCACGGTCATTGTAGACCTCGGTCATTAAGGAAATTGGAGCAGACAAACGTGCGTTTAGCATCAGCGGGTGATGCTTCCTGGATGTGGTGTTTCAAGACTTTCTTTCCTCCTTCAGGTTGGAGTCTACATGGGGAAAAGAGACTTTGTGGACCGTGTTGATTCTGTGGAACCACTGGGTGAGTCTGTTGTTTAAATGGGGGAAAAACCTCAACATTGCCCGTGATGAAGCGCGGCAGCACTGATGGTGCAGAGCCTTTGGCTTGTTTGGGTTTTTTTGTTCAGTTGAATTTTCTGTGTAATTTACTGAACTCAAAGTTGAGAATAGAAACATGACAGCTGGACTTCTGGTAAATCAAACTAATAATCAAACTAAATAACCAGCACAAATTACCATAAATGGTATTTATAATGTCCAGCTATATTAGCATATGGATTGAAACTTTATTGCATCTATTTATGTCTTTACGTTGCTGTTTGAATATTTTGATCACCCTTTTACATGAAAGTGTAAATTTGTTTTATTGAAAATCTCATTTTTACCACTTTACTGTTTTTATTACCACTAGATGGCGTCATCCTCGTTGAC